TCCAAAGACAATTTCTCTGGTATGTGTTTGCTAATGTTTTCTACAGTTGAGAATACTAAAGTTGGCTGTTGTTTTTCTATAACCTCAAGAAGTGTAGTTTTTCTTGTCTTTAAATCTGGTTCTGTCTGAAAAAGTCTTTCGCGTTCTGTTACTACTGGATTGTTTTCCGGATCCCATATACCTCTCATAACTTCTTCAAGTTTAAATGCCTCCCTAGTTACCGCATCTTTAACTTCATTTTTCCTATTTGAAATTTTCTCTTTTATGTTGTGATTTGTGACCTCGCAATCGTCCATATTTCTAAATTTCGCTGCTTGCTCTTCAACGAAAGGGAAACATGCGTCAATTTTTCTTTTTAAATCTTCGAGTAAAAGAATTTTATTTTCATATACATGTTTAAGTTCCTCATACTGAAATGGTCTGATTAAACATGACGAGCATAACGATTTATCGCTATTCAGACAGTATGATACACATGTCTTATCCGTATGTTTCGAACATGAAATCTCCTTCAAGTCCACTTTTCTTCGATATTTCAAAATCCTCAATATTATCTCCATGCTGTAAAGGGAAAGCCTTGTGTTCAGATAAATGTTCAATTTTTGTCTGAATTTTCGTATTACGCGTACATAAATCACATAGATTCAGACACATGACTGAATGCCATTTTACAACATCTGGTTCCTCACAAACTTTGCAGTTTGCATATTTGCTAGCCATTTTCAAATGATCACCCAATTGTCTTCATTTTTGTTTTCGAACAGCATTTAATTTAGTTAAACTAGAATTAAGCTGAAAAAATTCCGTATTTTCAAAATTCGTTTAATTCTATAAATTTAAACGTGTAAATGTCTTATGTCAAATCTACTGTCTTTCTTCGCTGTCACAAAAGATGTCAGTATAACCATGAAAGATATTAACAAAGGATAGATAGATATACTGCGATTGTAATTAATCAAAATAACTTGAATTTGGTGAAAGTCCACATGCAACAAGTGCTTTACGCTAAAAGATATTATGTACAGACCATTATCAGATTGAAGATAATTAAAAAGCGTGATTGTACTTTTTACCCCTTGAATCGAAGGTCAATATTCCAGAAATTGCCTTTTGTCTCTTTTGGATCGACATACGTTCACTGGGATTTATTTAATAAATGGATGGAAATTGGGAATGTGTCAAAGAGACAACAACCCGACCAAAGAGCAGAAAACAGGCGAAGGCCACCAATGAGTCTTCAATACAGCGAGAACATCCCGCACCCAGAAGCGTGCTTCAGCTGGCCTCTAAACAAAAATGTGTACTAGTTCAGTGGTAATGAACGTCATACTAAACTCCGAAATATATAAAAGAAACTAAAATTAAAAATCTAATTAAAAGACTTACAAAGGCCAGAGGCTCCTGACTTGGGACAGGCGCAAAAAATGCGGCGGGGTTAATCATGTTTTTTTTTAGATCTAAACCCCCCCATCCCTCTAGCCTATTTAAGACAATATTATAAAAAAATATATATTTATTTTTAAAAATTGGACAGAATGCCGTTTATTAGTTTTTTTTTAAACTTAAACTGAAAAAAGAAAGTGAATGGGATTCATAGAAATAGAAAACAATTATTTTTTAATAAATATATCTGAAAATAATTCTTATGAATATTTTGAAGAAAAAAATAAGAAAAAGAGTTCACTCCTATACTCGTTCGCTTACTATGTAAAACAAAGGATCGAAACCTCAACTTATGAATTAAAGTTTTTAGATATTAAATCATTAGATAAAGGTACCGTTTGTTTTGTAAAAACAAGTTAATGCTTGATTTTTTTTAAATAATGTAAATTTCTTTTATACAAAAAGGCCCCACTAATTGCATCACAATGTGATCATTTCTGTAAACATCTGGAGCAATATGTATGGTAAACTGCCAGTGATTGCTCACTTTATTTACAGCAAAATGTCTGGTTAGACCCTATAAATGCTTAGAAAAAGTTGTCTTTTCTTCTTAAAATCATATCTTTCATTTATGTTTAAAATCATAGTTCCGGAAATCAGTTATAAATCTAATGTGTTAAACTTAAATTGGTTGCAAAGATTCTCAAATAAAACACAATGAACAAAATTCGTTCCTTCGTAAACTCTTCTCAGCTCCTGTTTGCGATTATTACTGTCCTTTAATTTGTATTGGACTGTTCCCTAAGGAGATTGCCAATCTGCTATGAGAATATTTTGCTGGTTTTGTGTAAATCTGTTTTTAGCGGACTTTCTCGTGTTTTGCTGTTTATTTGCAAATCCATTATTAGTTGACTTTCTCGTGTTTTGCTTGAAATTTAAATATTTTGTTGTCTGTCTCGGGTTTTGTTTCGATATATCTGATAATAGTTACGGCACAAATTTTACTGCACCAGATGCATATTTCGACAATTCATGTATCTTTGGTGATAGTTTAAAATGGGAATATCCATGGGTTTTGTTGAATTTTACATGTTTGTTAACTCATCCTAATAAATTGAATCTTTTTAATCTTACATTGTGTTAACTATCACGTTGTTGTGAATCTAAATGCTTACTCCAAATGTTTATTGAAATGTATCGTTTGAATATCTAAACATTTGGTTGATTATCAAGTGTCGCATCTAAATATTGATAAAACAATCTATAAAACAAAACAAAAGTTGACCCTCACAACGCATTTTCTAGAAAAGAAATGTTGCCACTACAGTACAGGGAAATGTAAAATATTTGTTATGTATTAAGTTACAAAGTCTTGTTTGATTAGATACTTAATTAATTAGCCGATATTCAAATCTCGGAAATGAATTTACAACATATAAATCAAGTCAAACAAAATAAAAAATAAGGAAGTCGACAAGGGCATCGATAGGGTTAGTAAGTCGAAGAAGAGTCAGCATACATGGATTTCTGACACGCGTGTTTTGGCTATTACATATATTTGCCTTTAAGCAGAACCAGCTCAAAAGGTTAAAAAAACATCTGGCCCATTCAGAAAGATCACAAGACAGTGGTACATATTTTAAACAAAATAATTCCGCACAAAGCTGTAACTTTGTCAATACTCAAAGGAGCATTGGCTACGAACAATTAAATTGCAATTCTTTATAATTGTCTCTAATTTGTCATTTGACCTTCAATTTACCTAGTGATCCCTTAGCTAAAAATTGGTTACGCGTGTACTAAGAGTTTTTAGGTATTATAAGGGAAATAATGGCAACATAGAAAATGAAGTTGACTGATTCAATCCATAAAAAAAACTCATTCTTATACAGGTAAAAACGATACTAACATGCATTTTGAACCACTAACATGAAATCAGATATAGACAAATTCATTTTGCACGTGTTTGCTATCTATGTATGTTTACATCCATGTTTATATTAGTTTATATGACCGTCGACAGTCTCTTAGGGTCATCTTGATGGACTGTGCTAACAAAACACACGAAATACTGATATTCGAGTCCATGCATTGTCACTTGTTTTTTTTTAGTTTGATCTAAATCAAATGTGAGAAATTGAGTATAACCGATGAATATGAATTTGACAGTTAATGCCACTTTAAAGTGCTTGGTTAATTATGATATCAAATGAAAGCTAAAGAACTTGAAGTTTCTGTAGAATCCATGTTGACAGTTTCTGTTGAATAAGACATTTATAACATATGTAATCAAATTATAGGGACATATTTGCCCTGTTGCTAAGATTAGGGGTATTTTTTTGTACTAACAAACCTCAGGTAACCAATGCACTCAATAAAAGGTATTTTGAACTTATCAGCACAATTCCGGATAAAGTAAAATTTCGAGATGAACTTTATTTGAACATAAAACAAAATAGTTTTGCATGCTTGAAATTGCTGAATTTAACATAGAAAGCAATCGGGCTATAAATTATTTATGTAAACTATGCTTACCTTTCCATGGAACCGCGTATCACTTGCAACCAAAGTGTTTTGTTGATCAGATGTGTACACATCTTTCTGTATTATAGCTTTCTTGTGTTTGACCACTTTTAGTATGCTGAAGAATTTTTATATTTTGATTGACGTATTGGTAATTTTTCAATGTTTTGAAACGTATTTCACATTCAATTTGGTAAGTTCAAATAATGCTGACGCTTTTTGATAATACAATGCTGAGTCTGTCAAGTAATGTTCTTAAATTACAATCCGCTTTCGCTTTGTGCTGACGTTGTGTATCTTTTGATTTACTTTATAGTTTTCCCTTGAATGTCTTTGTACTTTTATATTTATTTTTGTCGTATGACTCATGACGTAGCTCGGTATTTGTTCATCAAGTTTTGGGGTTTTGGGGTTTTGAGAGTTGCTGATGTGGATGGATCCAGAGGTTCTAACTGAATGCTTGAGGTTATTATTGTGTTGTTTTCATTTTATATACCTCTATACATTTGATTTGATTGGTACTCTATCGGAAAAAATGCATATGTCATCATATATTAATATACTGTATAAACTATCAACTACAAACACTTTTTTGTTTACGTCTTTGTCAGATTTAAATGTATGTTTTTTGAAACGTTAACAAATAATGTCTGTTTGGGTTGCTCACCAATTTTTTCAATATAACGAATGTTTAAACAACTGTCATACAAGTAGAAGTTTTAGGTAGCTTTAAAACCAGGTTTAAACCACCATATTTTTCTCAAAACGCCTATACTGACCCTTTATACTAAGTCAGGCATATGCCAGTTGTTGCTTGCAGTTCGTTCTGTTGGTTGATATAGCGTTTGATTTTTTCAGGTTTAATAGATTTCCCCATTTTTTAACATACCTTGGTGTTTGTTTTTTGGCTAATACCTTTTTTTGTAGCAAAATTTAGCAAAAGATAATGTACGTGTGCTAGACGTCACAATGGAATTTGTAAAATCAATTTTATTTTGAACGAAGTTTTGAATTAAAACGAACATTTCTTTAGAAATATTCATTAAAAACGTAAAACCATGATGTTTAAACATGAAGTGTTCCTTTCTGAAGTCTCATTCTATGAATTTCACAATATGTAACTTTGTTGTACGAGAATCTGAACAACCAATCATTAACTCTCCCTTTTTGTTAAAACATATACTAACAGGCGAAATTATTTCACTATCTGATAAACAATTACATATGAACTGCCCATCCTTAGAAAGGACATGAATTGCGTTTGTCGTTTCCTCAGACACCAGAACCAGACCAGATGATGTTGTAACAATGTCACCGGGATCAAAATCTTCTGCTTCAACTTCGGTTTCTTCATCATCTTCGTCTTCTCCATTATCTTTTCTTTCTTCTTTTTCTTTTGCTGCTGCTGATACTGGATTAAGGCTTCGATGGCCACTGTATGTCCATTTCGTTTGTCCCCATTTTCCAATCGATACTACTCTTTTAGAAAAGCCTAACTGATCTATCACAAAAATATCTCCATTGTTGTCTGTAGTTATCTTTTTTGGTAAAGTGAATATATTTTTGTCGCTTCCTCTATCGCATTCAACGCGTCTTATCTTGCTTGCATAATTGGTATCGGTTATTTCAAGAATTCCAGTAGAATTCCTCTCGTTATTGGTAAAACCGACTATAATGTCATTATCATTTACAGCGTGAATACAATAAAATGTCAGTTTATCGTATGTAAACGACAGTGATATATTCTCAAATGTGCCATTATTTTTAAGGCGTCTCATTTGAAATGTGTCATCGCATAATAAAACTTCTTCGTTATAGTTTGTTATATCCAAAATCTTCACATATCCATGTCTGTCCTTTCTGCTTTGATCAACTATGTCATTTTTAGTAGTTACAAACTTTAAATCAGATATGGTGAAATACTTAAATTTGCGAGAACGTTCATTATACATAACGCATATGTCATCATTTAGAGACACTAATCCATTTATCTCGGGAAAATTAACCTCAAACGTCTTAATCAAAACGGCTTTAGGTTTATTGATAATTGATCCCAATATCTTTTCCATATTAACATCTATTGGCTCAATATAATACAGTTCTGGAGGTGTTACTTCCAAAACTGATTCCTCTGGTATATCTCTACTGATGTTTTCTGCAGTTGAAAAAACTAAAGCTGGCTCTTGAGTTTGTGTCGCTTCGTGAAGTACATTTTTTCGGGCCTTTAAATCTTGTTCTACTTGACAAAGTCGTTCACGTTCTGTTTTTAGTGGATTATTGTCCGCATCCCATATACCTTTCATAACTTCTACTAAGGCTAAAGCTTCCTTTGTTACTGCATCTTTTACTTCATTTTTCCTTTTAAAAATTTTCTCATTTATTTCGTTGTGCTTTTCGACCTCATCATCATCCCTTTTCCTGAAATCAGCCGCTTTCTCCTCAAAGAATGGGTAACAATCGTCAATTTTACTTTTCAAATCTTTGAGTAGAAGATATTTTTCTTCGTATACTTTGTTTAGTTTCTCATACTGAAATGGTCGGATTAAACAAGAGGCACATAGGGATTTGTCGCAATTAAGGCAGTATGTTACACATTTCTGATCCATATGTTTCGAACAAGCAATCTCCTTCAAGTTCACTTTTCGTAGATTTTCCAATTCCTTAATACTTTCTCCATCTTTTAGAAGTTCGACCTTGTGTTCAGATAATTTTTCACTCTTTGTATGAATTTTTGTATTGCATAGATCACAAAGATTCAGATCACATGACTGGCAATGCCAATTCACATCCTCGGATCCTTCACAAAATTGACAGTTTGCATATTTGCTAGCCATTTTTCAGAGGTTCATCCCATTTTGTCTATATTTGCTTTTTTAGCTAGAGTGTTATTTTATAGAAACATTCTATTCATGAGCAAATAATCTAGTTCCTAAACACGTTTGTCTGGTATCTATTCGTTTATTATATTGTATATGTCTTATCTGAATCTACCTGTGTTCTTTATTGATTTGATAAAATTCCACGTAATGCACTTGCGTCAAACATTATAGATAAAGTTGACAATAGTGAAGTAAGATATTGTCATTTTGATAAAATCAAATAAAATAAATTTGCCTTATAACCATTCTACATTTGAACTGTGTTTAAATATATGAGTGATTTTTATTTCAGTGTGTGTTGTTGTTCTTTCGCTACTTGCTCCGAATACATGGTTGTAGGAGTGTCAATTTTCTTTGGAAAATGCCTATTCCAAATAAGGAATATGATAGTTGTTTTTTATTTCTTTTGTTGGTTTATATAGTCTACGCTTAATATGTCAGGTTTCATGGACTTCTCCCTTTTAAAATTTACCGTAAAGTTCGGTATTTTTGTTTGTAAGTTATTGATTTAAGAACGTTCTTTTCGGTTTCTTTTATATGACTGCATACTTATCTGCCAATTAGTGAAGTTAGCACGGCGGTATTGAAAGTGAAAACAAATATACGTATATATATATATATATATATATATAAGTGCCTATAAATAGCAGCACATGACATACAAATCTATGGGAGTGTGGATTAATCAGTACAGAGATTAATTCAATTACACAAATAAAATTATAGATTGCCTAACAATGTAATTTTAACACACTATTTAGTATGTAAATATAAGAATGTTTAAAATATTTACAAAATGATGAAAATAAACGCAATATTTCGCTAGACTAACTAGCTTTATCAAGCGTGCATCTATCCAGGTGAAATCGGATGTAGATGATAAGAAACTTTTGCAGCTCAATGTATATGTTGCACTTGAATTAAGCTGCCTTGAAAATAATACATAATTTGGATGAAGTTCAAGATTTTTACAAAATTGGTAGTTGAAGTTAGCAACGTCCATTGGCCAATATTACAGGATAAAAAGGGCGATGCTGTGTACTAAATTATTCTTTATCTTTCCTGTATCTTTTCTCATCTTTTTCGTTAAGACCATCAGGTTCTAAAGTGTGGAGTTGGTGAATCCAAAAAATTTTCCTTCTCCTTCTCGCCGTGGTGTCCCACTCGGTGTTGACTTCTATGATTTGGAAGGTAACATTATCAAAAGAATGTTTCGTTGAACGAAGATGTCTTGTGAGAGGACAGTTTTTGTTGGTTTTGTACCATGAACGATGGTTATTGAGCCGAATATTAAATTTGTCCATTGTTTCTCCCACATACTGAATGCCACATGTGTCACATGTTAATATATAAATTGAGTTCTCCGTTTTACAGTTGGAATTTGAGTAGATGGTATAATTTTGTTTAGTAACGGAGCTGATGAAAGAACTGCTTGTATTGGCAGCTTTACAACACAAGCAGTTCCTTCGACCACATTGTTTGTAGCAACCGGGAGATGGAGTAGGCTGCTTTGCTAATACAGATGTCACTAATTTGTCACGGATGTTTTTAGGTCTTCTGAAGGCCATGACTGGTGGTGAGGAAAATACTTTTTTAAGATTTGAATCATTTTCTATAATTTTCCAATGCTTCTGAACAATGGAAGACACATTTTTAAAATCAGGATGGTAAGTGAGTACAAGGGGTGTTCTGTTAGCTGCTTTATTCTTATCTTTGTACTCTAGAAGTTCTTGGCGACTAGTTTTGTTTGCTCTTTCGAAAGCGCTATCAATGATGTTGTTATTGTATCCTCGAACAACTAGATGTTTACGTAGTTGTCCAAGTCTAGCATATTGCGTATTTTCAGTAGAGCATATTCTCTTGATTCGCAATGCCTGGCTGAATGGGATGCCACGGGAGCAGTGTTTAGGATGGCAACTTTTAGGAGAAAGGAATTGATGTTTGTCCGTTTGTTTGGTATGAAGGTCCGTTATAATGGTTCCGTTCTTGATGTAACTCGTAGTGTCGAGGAAGTTTATTTTCTCCATAGATGATTCATATGTAAATTTTATTGAATGGTGGAAAGAGTTACAGTGTCCTAGAAATTCATTAAGATGTTCTTGTGAATCTGTCCATTTGAAATCAATATCGTCAATGAATCGGAACCATGATAAGGGCTGGTATGGAGCACTAGCCAAGAGGCGTTTTTCAAGTTGGCCCATAAATATGTTGGCATATGACGGGGCCATTTTTGTGCCCATACTAGTACCGTCTATCTGGAGATAATGTTTTTCATTGAAAGAGAAGTTGTTGTTCTCTAGCACTAGTTTCAGAAGTGTAACAAGGCACTCAGTTGGAGGATTTTTTTCACTACGAGTGTTCCATACCTCTTCACACGCTGCTATTCCTTCGTCTTGTGGAATGTTGGTATATAAAGAAGACACGTCCATGGATGCAAGTATAGTATTGCTTGGTAGAGGATTGAGGCTTTCCATTTTCTTTAGATAATCAGTCGTATCTTGGATGTAAGAGGGTAGTTCTTTCACATGAGGTCTTAGATGATGGTCTAAAAATTCTGATATCTTTTCAGTTGGATGACTATTTGCTGAAACAATTGGTCGACCTGGATTGCCCGTTTTATGTATTTTAGGCAACATATAGAATCTTCCGGCCTTTGCTTCGTTCTCAAATTATGTATTATTTTCAAGGCAGCTTAATTCAAGTGCAACATATACATTGAGCTGCAAAAGTTTCTTATCATCTACATCCGATTTCACCTGGATAGATGCACGCTTGATAAAGCTAGTTAGTCTTGCGAAATATTGCGTTTATTTTCATCATTTTGTAAATATTTTAAACATTCTTATATTTACATACTAAATAGTGTGTTAAAATTACATTGTTAGGCAATCTATATATATATATATATATATATTTATCCAACGCAATCATAGGTTTGAACGTTGTTTTCAATTTAGACTTGTTTATATATATATATATATATATATATATATATATATATATATATATATTCTCCGCAAGTTCATTGTTTTCTGTTTAGTATTAAATTTAAAATTAAGATCCGTTTGTTTGGCAATCGCCAATGGCAGTCAGCAGGGTTTAAGATTATTTGTTGTTCGACCTGTTAGTCAAATGCGTTTTGTTAAAATATACTTTTTCACTTTTTTGGTCTTTTGGAAAATGTTGTTTGTGCTGTATTTAGACCCCTCTAACAAGAAATTTGTTTTGCATGCACACGTATAAAAATTGCGGTTTTTATCCAATGCAATCATAGGTTTGAACGTTGTTTTCAATTTAGACTTGTTTATATGTATATATATATTGTTGGGCTTTCCAAATACCGTTTCGATTCCTAACATCACTGAAGAGACATTAATTGTCGAAATCCGGATATGGTGTACAAAAACCTTTGCACCTTTTTTTTGCGGTATATCATCTTCTCCGCAAGTTTATTGTTTTCTGTTTAGTATTAAATTTAAAATTAAGATTCATTTATTACATCGGTGATCCGTTTATTTGGCAATCGCCAATGGCAGTCAGCAGGGTTTAAGAACATCGACAGATGGTATACCACAAACAAAGGTGCAAAGATTTTTGTACACCATATCCAGATTTCGACAATTAATGTCTCTTCAGTGATGTAAGGAATCGAAACGGTATTTGGAAGGCCATATAATTTACCTCAATTTAGGATAGACTCTTGAATTTTGAGGAGTCAAAATAGGATGAACGGATCATATAAACCCGAAGGCAAATATAATACAAGCCCAAACGAAAAAATATAAACAAGTCTAAATTGAAAACAACGTTCAAACCTATGATTGCGTTGGATAAAAACCGCATTTTTTTATACGTGTGCATGCAAAACAAATTTCTTGTTAGAGGGGTCTAAATACAGCACAAACAACATTTTCCAAAAGACCAAAAAAGTGAAAAAGTATGTTTTAACAAAACGCATTTGACTAACAGGTCGAACAACAAATGTTCTTAAACCCTGCTGACTGCCATTGGCGATTGCCAACTAAACGAATCACAAGGTGTAATAAATGGATCTTAATTATAATTTAATACCAAACAGAAAACAATAAACTTGCGGCAAAGATGGTAAACCACAAACAAAGGTGCAAAGATTTTTGTTCACCATATCCGGATTTTGACAATTCTATATATATATATATATATATATGTAGGACTCTAAAGTGCGATGGTACTCTAAAGTGCGATTGTCACGCTAAAGTGCGATGGTCTACGCTAAAGTGCGATGGTGTTAGACGCTAAAGTACGATGGTTGTTTGTTTGTTTTAGTGCAAATAGATGACACGCTAAAGTGCGATGGTATGACACGCTAAAGTGCGATTGTATAAGACACGCTAAAGTGCGATGGTATAACACGCTAAAGTGCGATGGTCCGGCAAGCTAAAATGCGATCGTATTTGACAAGCTAAAGTGTGATGGTATAACACGCTGAAATGCGATGGTATTGCATGAAACAGTACGATGGTATATGACACGATAAAGTGCGTTGGTATAACACACCATTAATCCGATGGTGAAACTGGAATGGGGTTAATGCAATGGTTTTTGTTTTTTAAGTGTTTATAATAGTTTTTCTTTTATTGTAATATTTATGAATCATGCCGTCTTTTGAATTGTTTTACACTAGTTATTGTGTTGTCCTATATAGCCTTATTTAATGCTCCACGTTGAAGGTCATAATGTAATTAGGTGCATACACCAACGAAATTTGGTCTTAAGTGTATAGTTGTTTCGTTGACAAGTACACCGCATTTGTTTTTGTTTTTTGTTTTGTATATAAATCAGACCGTTTCAATTGTCGTTTAATACCCTTTGGGCGTTAACTTATAGATTAATATCTGCGGGGTTAGCCATACGGTAACCTATAGTTAATTAGAATTAATGACATTTAGCCTTGGATAGAGATTGTCTCATTGGCAATCATAGTATGATACTAATCTCTGGTCGTTTCGTTACTGTCTTGATGACCAGTATTCGTCTCTTTCACAGACTTGTCTCATTGGCAATCATATTATGATAATACATCTCTAGTTTTTAAGTTGCTGTCTTATTGGCGAATATGACTCTCTTTAACAAACATACTTTTACTTTTACTTTTACAAATTGTGACTTGGATGGAGAGTTGTCTCATTGGCACTCATGCCACATCTTCTGATATCTGTATAATAAAACCTATTGTAAAAAACATTTTATAAAATAATTCAATTACAAAGTAAAAAGTAGACTTTATTTGACCCAACTAAATGACATGGAATTCATAAATTAATTGTCTAAATCAAATTTGGACGAATTAGATATTTAGAAACTTGATGAATTTTGCCATTTTCAAGCTCTTTTAAGGTATATACCTTCCCCTTACTGTCGTCATTTTCAATGTTTATAACAAGTCCTTTCTTCCAATATCCTGAAAGAAAAACGTTTGTTCCCGCTGATAGAGCTGAATTTGGTTTAAAGTCAATAATTTCATTAACTGCAGGATGAAAGGTTTGCATTTCTGTAATTTTGGATACTTTTTTGGGGAACAACTCCTCCGGATACATGCTACTGTCCCATTCTTCACGATTCTGAAAAGCGTAAAAATAAAGTTACAATAAAATATAACATTAAATCAAAGCATGAAAATAACAAATGTAACAAATTGAAACAATCATTAAAAAAATTGTTCAAGTGATTATGAATTAAGGTAGATTCATGGTATACCGCCATCTTGGATTGTACAATCCCAGTACAAAATCGGTCTAGTTATTTGCCCAAATCTGCAAATTTGGAGACAGATTTGCAATTTATTGGTTAGACTGTTTATTTATATCAAGAAAACTTGGTGATTTATTGTATAAGTCATAATATTTAAACAAATATCAAATTTTGTGTTTTTAGAATCCATTTTTTCAGATAAGTCATTTAAGGGGAGATAACTCTTTAAGTAAAAAATATATACTGGATTGATAGGGAAATTTTTTATTTTTACTTGTAGCAAGAAAACAAGTTCGGTGACACCATTTTTTATTTTTATTTTCTTAAAACATTTTACAAAACCTATCTTTTCACAATTTATTTCAAAATTCTATCTCATAGATTTTTTTTATGCACACAAATATGTTTTTTCATGAACAATCTAACCAAATTTATGCATTTTTCAACGACTCATAGCTTGGAAAATAGCACGGTGACCCATACTTTTTATTATATTTTCGAAAAAAGCATAGTAAAATCTTCATTTTGGCAAAGTATAAGAAAATTCTATCTCAAGAAACATATACCTATGATCTACCTTAATTAAACAAAGTCCCTAATTAAAATATAAAAATTTCGCTATTAATGCAAATATTATGTTTTTTTTTGCTTAAAAGTGTCATAATACTTTGATTTAGCATTCAATAGTACGTAACCAACAAATAATAGATTACACTCTATTTGTTCACCTTGATTATTATTTATATTTTGTCACAATAAATAAGTTTCTTACTTCAGACATATAGATTTCGGTTTCCAAGTGACGGCGTTTAAAGCCTGGCATACCAGAATCAGTATGTTGTATGAATCTCCTTGCATACAGGTCTTTATAATATGGGCTAACTTCTGACTGAAAGCAAATAAGAAATGGTTTAATAATATTCTATAATTTTTAAGCGTACATAACATTTTGTACACAAACTACGCTGTTGGTGTTTTCCTTTGGTTTGTTTAACATTGGTTTTACGAGACATTTTATAGCTGACAATGTTGTATAGGTTTTGCTCATTTCTAAAGGCCGTACTATGACCAATAGCTCTGAACTTCTATATCATTTGGTCTTTAGTGGTGAGTTGTCTCATTGGATATCAAACTACATCTTCTCATTTTTATATTCTAACTTTTTAAAACAAAATTAATTATTAAGTAAGTATAGATGCTTATTTACAACGCTTAGTACGCATGAATAAATAGTTATTTACATTTGTATGAAGTGTTTGAATAATTACTCGTAATACCTTAACACACACCATGCAGTAAAATAGAAATAAATTTCGTTTAAAAATACCATTGAAATTGATAGTGTTTAGGCTGTATTTTTAAGAGCTACTTTTTTAAAAGTTATAAAATTTACGTACTTGATGTAAACTTGTATTGCCCTTCATTTGTGAATTTGTGATATCTTGCAGTGGCTGAGACATTTGGAGCTGCTGTTGTGACGGTATCATTTCATTCGATCTGTTAGAAGTCTGTACGGTATTATTTACCTAAAACGACAGAAATATTTGTATTTTTAAATAGGGTATTAATTTTAAAAGTATAATAAGATTTACAAAATTTTGTGACCAATTGAACTTTTTTTCAGAATTAAAAATTCAAATGTAATCCAATTACCCAATCTAAACGTTTAATAGTGATCAAAACATCTTAGCAATACTTACCTCGACATTTTCAACGCCATTTTCGGGCTGCATATAATGCACATTGCTAGTTATAGTTTCATTTCCTGTTATTACCTGAAATGTAAAGAAAACAAATAATCATTCACAAACAAGTACTATGTACACAAATTCCAAGTACTTTATCTTCCATTACAATTTTTTTAACCTTATTACAATTAAATTATAATTGTAAAAAATGACTTAATTTGAAAACAATTAAAATAAACAGTTATGTAACATACCGATTCACTTTCATTGATCATGTTGGTAATTCTTGTGTTCCACAACGACTCAACAAATTCCTGATAATCATTTTCTGCATCCATTCTGATAATTTCTTGAGCTTTTTTATGCACACTTTCACTGTTAATCTATAATTATGCAATTAAAATGTTTTATAAATCAAGTATTGTAACAAGAAGGAATTTTAACTTATTTTAAACATACAAATTTATGTTATGCAATGTTTTAATTTGTTGTTTAATAGAAATATTTATATCATTAATGCGCTTTTAAATAGAACAAGGTATTCGCACTCACCTCAGAATTTGTACTTAATGCACCAATTGTTGCAGAATCAGTGGTTAATTTATTATCTATCATCTCAGACTGCTGGTCTTCATTATTTTTCTACAAAGACATTTTTCATGTGAAATCTTTATAATACACTGGTACAATATAAGATAACAAGTAATAGATATATTTAAAATCTTATTTACGACTTGTGTGCAATTGACAACCCACTTTAGTGAAATATTTTGTTTTACAAGTTCCATTATTTTTAATTTATTTTATATAAACAAGCAACTATTTTAATACCTGATTAACAACCCCGGGTTCTGCATCAGTAATTCCATTAATTTTCTCTGATTTTAAGTTTTCATTTAATGTCAAGTTATTGTTGTCGTCATCATCTTCCTCTACATCCACGTGAGCCATCTCTAGAAATTCTTTTTCCTCTTTAGTTAGATTACACTTTGCAACCTAAACATAAACAGTACAATAAAAAAATTTATTCAAGTATAAATAAACAAAAGGTTGAGTGTTATTGTCCAGTATATGCATGTAATATTTGTCACTGTACGTTCAACATGCAAAAATCATTTTTCACTGTGTTAACTTGAAGGAATTACCAGAAATAATAAAACTATTTACTTATATTTTATAATAAACACAAACTTTAAACTTGGTGTAATGTTTTATTCTTAAATATAACCGTTGGATTCGTGTATAAAATTGTGTTTATAAGATGATCTTTTAAACTGTACTTTTCAGTGTGGGGTTTTATCATTATCAAACATCGTATTGCAACCTCTTTTTTTTTTTGTTTTTATATATGTGATTTGTGTTTAAATTGAATATTGTCCTATTTGCAATGATACCTCATTTTCTTATTTATAATTAAAAAAGTTTATATAATTTACCGGTTCTTCTAATGCCATCGAAAAGTTTGGTCTCTTGAAAAATCTCTGATGGGGTGTCATTGGTCTAGTAGATTTGTTCACTCTGCTGTTATATTTGTAATAAAACTCTCCAAGTAAACTCGGCCAATCTCTTGTGTCAACAAATTGGGCTCTAAAGTATGCAACAACTGTCCTATTAAATCTTTCCACGCGTCCTGAAATGATGGTGTAAAAAAGTGTTATAACATTGTTTTAAATTCTATATTTAATTAATATAGCATTTTGAAGATAATAGTTTAGTTTAGTAATTTATAGGTATACCGTTTGTCTACATTAAAGGTATAAAAAAAAATTACAAAATAACGTTTTAGCGTCCCCATTTAAATATTCATAAAAAAGTTAAAAAAAAAAGCCTGTTAAAGATGTAAACCTGGACATAATGTGAAGGCAATATATCTTTCTATTGCTTTTTTTATTGTAATGAATAGGTGATACTAAATTATTATTTAATATTATAGTACAATTCAGTTTTTTTTAACTAACCTTGTGATTGAGGATGGTACGGACGATCATTAATTTTTCTTGTTTTAAACTCATCTATCACTGCACAAAGATCTGCATTGTTAAATTCTTTTCCGTTATCCGTCTGGAGAATCCGAGGTGGACCAAATATATAGATAAATTTTAGGAGCAATTCGGAAACTTCCTTTGCTGTCTTCTGCTTAAGATGTCCACCAAAGGCAAAGCGGCTGTAGCAGTCAACAATATTACATATGTAATTATATCCTTTACATGGAGGCATCTTCTTTAAATCCATTTGCCACCTACTATTGGAATAGGTAGCTGGTATTGGTTTTCTAGTTATTTGTGTCTTTGGTAAATCAACCGCTGCAAGGCATTGCGAACATTTTACATGTTGCTTAAACAGTAATCTAGTATTTTCACGAACTACGGGAAAATATGATTCTCTTAATGTTTCATAAATAGCGTCACTTTTGCGGTGATCAATTTTATGATTGTTGTTAATTTCCACTATCATTTCTTCTTTAGATAAGACTCTTCTATGATTGTCTCCTACCTTTGTACTTCTGTGGTACAATGAACAAGAATGGTCATCATACAGAAAGTTGGCCAAATACTTTCTAACACTTGTATCTCCCATTCGTAAGTTTAGTTCCTCCTTTATTTTTTTAGCACCCCAACTATTTTCATCAAATTTCTTTTTGCATATCAAATTTACCTCTTCCAATACCGACCAAAAATGTTCCGGATTAGGATTATTAGTTTCTCTTTTCTTTCTTTTTTTGTCAAGTATAAATCCTTCATCTGGACACAAATCCTGGTTTAACGGCACGTCCATTTTTTGTTTGTACAAAAGGCTTATAACGTCATAATGATAGTATCGTTGCAAGCGTACATACTTTCGCGGACAAACGCACTTTCGCGGAAAAACGCACTTTAGCGTATTGAGCCATCGGACTTTAGCGTGTTCCACTTAATAGCACAGACCATCGCACTTTAGCGTATCAGACCATCGCACTTTAGCGTATGCCATCGCACTTTAGCGTGGCCATCGCGTTTTAGCGTCCCCATCGCACTTTAGAGTCCTACATATATATATATATATATATATATATATAAATTAATAAAAGATAATAACGGTTTCAATTCATCACTTTTACTAGGGCTTTCACAGTTTTCACAGATCTTCAAGTAATGTGACTTGTATACATAAGTGTAATATAAAACAATTGATTGACGTTAACAATAGTATGACGTTAACAAATATAAGGGAGACTACTAATGTCATTTTAAATCCAGGGTTGCGAATGTTTATGAATAATTCTTCTTTCTTCCTCCGGAGAAAATCATTTTCAAGATTGACCATAAACAATGGAAATATTTTAAATCGTCCATTAGAACAACGATGGAAATGGTCGTTAGCCGTGATGATTGTTAAATCTTTATGGTTGGTTTGCTGTATGTGTAAAGTCATTCTAGTCTGCAGTTCATTTTTTGTCTCTCCAACATAGAATTCCTCACTATTTGAACATATGAGAGAATAGATACCGTTTGAACTTTTACAAGACATATTTTGTTTAACTGTAAAATGCTTTCCATTTTTGAAATAAATTGAACTTTCTTATATTAAATCTGGACATGTCATACATCGTTCATCGGTACATCTACTAACAATAGGCAAAGTTTCATTAAAGTCAAATTTTGAAGATGTTAAATATCGTTTTAGACTTTTCGATTGTCTTTTACTGTTGATAATCTTCTTTTTTTGTAAGACTTTGTGCATTTTTTTTCACTTTTGTGCAAATTATTTTCAATTTATCGCATTAAACTAAATATATCATAATCTCGTGGATTATATGTTGTGACAAACGTGATAATTTTGTCTAAATTGTACGATGATTCTTCGGTTGTTTCGGATCGCCTTGATTCTGTAATAATTGGTCCTTCTGTCAGTGCCTTTTGAATTCCGTAGTTTATTACTTGTTCCGGATATTGTTGCTTTTTTAAATACACTTTTAATTCTTCCAATCTTTTATTGCGTAATATTTCTGTACTAGTAATGGTAATTATTCTTGACGCTAGATTAAAAAGTATATTTAATTTTACATGTTTTGGATGGTTTGAGTAAAAATTTAAATCCATATGTGTATCGGTGTCTTTAGAAAAGATATCTGTGACAATTTTATTGTCTTCCGTTATAATTACTAAAATATCCAAAAACGGTATTTTTTTGCCATTTCTGTTAAAAGTGAAACGAATATGTGGATTTAAAGAATTTAATATACTTTGATAGTGCTTTAAATATATATATAATAAGAAACATTAAGATCACTGGTCTTGTTATCTAGCCGCACGTTGTGATTAAGTCTCGATTCATTTTTGGTAAAGGATTATACCCAGGATAAGCACTATTATATCTTTTGTCAGATAATTAACTGACAGAGTTCACAAACTAGAGGCTCTTAAGGGCCTGTGTCGCTCACCTTGGTCTATTTGCATATTCAACAAAGTACACTCCAACATTGTAGACGATATAGAATTCATGACAAGAATCTCTTTTGTGTTGATCTTGTATTGCTAATCATTTGGTCTAGTTAGTTTCAATCTATCTTCTTTGGTTTTTTTTCTCAAAACGCAAAAGAGGGTAAAAATATCCTAATAAGGGCAATCACTTCTATCGATTTCGGTACTTATACATTATATAAGTTTCGGTATTTATACATCCCTCGGATTTCAAATGTTTGGCATTGAGCTTTCCTAATGAAGGTAAATCCAGAAAAGCGCTTGGACGCATGAAAT